CGTTATTGTGAGAAAAAACAATGTTATTATCCTTCAGGAATCATTCTAATAGCTGATTTGCCGTTCAAGAAACATTTCTGATTATTATAAATGTTGAAAATGGTTGTGCCGCTTCATATGTCTGTGTAATATGTTTGCGCAGTGATTGGTGTGTATGTGAGCCGTTGGTTTACTGGAACGTACCCATCTTCAGAGTCTGTGTTTCTCTTATTCATGTTAAGGACACAAGAGCTGTCAGTGTGTGTGTTGCGACGCGTCTCAATAATTAATGAGAGATTGTAACGGAGCCGAAGCAGTGCTGGATCATTTACAGCCCGCAGAGGCTTCAGATTGATTTCAGACTGTATGTTTGTCCTCAATAAAGAGCCTCAGAGTTGGTATGCATGTGAATTATGACTAATTTATCTACTCAACTTTAAATCAGAGACCGTTTGGGTTTCTTTTAGGTCTAGACCTTAACTAACCTTGGTTTAGTGGCAGAGAACTCTTGCCGTGTGACGGTGAATCTCTTCAGTTGTCCGGTCTGTGTTATTGATTGTGCTGAATATGAGCTCGGATGGCATAAACTTTGGAATGCGCTCAGATGTGTCGAACAGGACTAGCTTGCTAAGCAAACATGCCTGACACTCCTGTATGTCAATGCAGTCAGTTTAGTCAATGTTCAACAACACGCCTGACCCGCTTTGACATTAATACACTCTGTTCACATATACTGTTGCATTTTATTGTTATATAATTATTAATCCATGGCATGTTTTAAAAACACAATTAGTGACAAACACATACCACCATAGTTTATGCTAAAATACCATTGTTGAAATGGTTTACTATGGTAAAACTGGTGACTTGAATTAGCCATCTATCATCAAATACTAATGTCAAAAAATGATTGATATTTTATTTAACTTAGTTTTTTTACATTTTTATTTTACTTTAGTAGAATTTATTATTCATGATTTTATTCATTTTTAGTAATATTAGTTTTTTTTGTAGTAGTAGCCTACTTTTATTTTATTTATATATATATATAATAAAAGTACTACTACAAAAAAAATAATATTACTAAACCATTTTTATTTCTATTTAATTTCTATTATTTTAATGTACTAATTGTTTTAGTAATGCGGTTATTTTTTAATTAATTGATTTATATTTTTTTATTTAGTATTTGATTATTTTATTTAATATTTGCTTTTTGCATACTGTAACTGGGAGAATATAAATTAAGAACGTGCAAATTTAACAACCTTTACGAAAGCTCTGATTTTAGAATATGTAATTTTATTTATTTTTTCCTCCGTTTGTGCTTGTCTTGTAAAGTCTGATAAACATCCAACAACCAGGTTTAATCCAATAGTGTTCAGTGGCAATAAAAACAGCAATAAAGTGATCATTTTCTAAAAATCCAATCAGTGTGTGTTAAAATATGCAGATTTGTATTGCTTTTGGTTATTAGTTTTTAGACTGAACTCGGTTTTGTTCGGCTGCTATCGGTATTTTCAGTTGTGTTTTTGTGTGGCTGCTGTTATTTTGTGTTATTTTTCATCAGAGAGAATCTAATGAAGCGAGGACTGTTAAATTATGAGTAACTGACTTCATCTCACATTATTAGAAAATCACAATTAAGCCTCTTCTACCAGCATCATTAATGAATCCTCAGAAGTAGTTATGCATGCATTTATGAAGTCATTAACATAAGGTTTATGATTAATTTATGAACGGGACCCGCCGTTAGCAGAGCTGTAAATGACAGAAATATAAAACAGTTTTTCGTGTCAGAATATTGGGAGGAAACTGAAGAATGTTTTTACATAGTTCACATGAAACTTAATGAACATACAGAATTCTTGCAAAAATTCTGTGAATGTTTCTTATAAATGTACAGGGAAAGGATTTCCTTTGTATTACCTTTTTAATAATTAAATATATCTTTTTTTTTTTTTCCAAGTTTCGTACAATGGAAATGTTTAATGTAAAAGTAAATTAGGCCTACTTGAAGACCTTTTAGATTTAATGACACAAATTGTGACATTATTTTTTGCACACTTTCCTCCTTAATTGTTGTTACTGTAATGCTTTTTAAAAAATTTGCGCTGATGTTAATTCAAATATAAAATATTACAGAATAAATTATTACCTCAATGCATTATTTATTTATTTATTTATTTATTTTTGCTTAACCGTAATGACAATTTAGCTTAAAGTCTGCTGAATGTTAAATGTTAAATTCTGAAAGAATGTTAAAAATGTCACATTGCAAAAATCATAATTGTCTCAAAATGAGTCTGTTTTCTTTAAACTAAATATTTTTTTGATTTCTTTAGATTTTGGGGTGAAACAAGAATGATATATTGACAACAAAATCAGAACAAATAAATATATGTAATGTTTTATTTTGCTTTATTGTTTTATTAAAGGGGTCATATGATGCTTTTTTAAAGATCATTAGTGTTCTACTGAAGAAACAAAGTCACCTACATCTTGGATGCCCTGGGGGTAAGCAGATAAACATCAAATTTTCATTTTTGGGTGAACTATCCCTTTAAAACGTGCTTAAAATGTCACATTGCAAAAATCCTTACTGTCCTAAAACAAGGGTCTATTTTCTTTAACCTAAATATAATTTCTGATTTCTTTCTTTCGATTTTGGGGTGAAGCACGAGACATTTCTTCATTAGAGTCACATTTCTGGGCAGATGTGAGTGAGAGTCTGTGTCACACCAGCTGGTCCTTTATTTGTTTTTTTATTTAACAAAATGCTTGTAATCTTCATTTACAATTCCACTGATAATATGTGAGTCTGGCCTCAGTCGTGTGTGAAGTGTGTCTTTTTCTGAGCTGTCACACTTTAATTGGGCAGACGGGGGTGTAAATGAGATGGGTCTTTGTCCCCATATGGGGCGTATGAGACGGGACGCCCGCGGGTGTGTGTGAGGAGGTGGGACTCATTTGACATGCAGCATCCCTCTTTCATGATCAGACACACACACACACACACACACACTCGGCAGAGGTCTGACAGTTAATGATCCGGGCGTGAGCAGCTGTTCATTAGTTTGTCTCTTTAGTGTCCCGACACCCAGCAAATATTCCCCCTTCATTTCCATCCGTTCACCACCTGAACCTCCGTCAAACAGACCTGTTAATGTGAAGAGAAAGCACAGTTCATAATGTCAAGAGCAAATCTCAATCCTCCCCTAACAATCATATCAAATCTCAGTGTTGCTTAATGTTTACAAAATTTAGAACAAAGAAATTGTGAATATTTCATTGGGACCCACTTTATATTAAGTGTCTTTAACTATGTACTTACATTTTAATTAACCATATGATACATTGCACTTCTTGCATACATGTTTTGCAATTTAATATAAACACGATTGGTACATTTTACCTGACCATTTTTTGGGCATAAGTATAGTGGTTGAAGATAGAGGTCTGCGTGGGACTGTTGAATTTATATGAATTATCTTAAGACACGAAATTAGTTTAATATTTTATGCAACACAATAGGAAAAAGTGTCGCAGAGAAAAAAAAATGCAAATTTAGGTTGTACAAAAATAGCCTATTAGCTATTTTTATTCGTCTTGTCAAAATGCTAAATTCGTTTGACATTTTTCTGTTAACACAGGACAGCGCATCCACACTTTGCTCCATCCTTATTCTGCTGTCACTCATCGACAGCCTGCCTGTTCTGTCTGAGGGCCGTATATTTACCACCGGTACAGCCTGCTCTGAGCATCGTTATGCACATGCTGCGCACAGACCCCGCAAATAAAACGCGTGATGCAGAGTGTGCATAACAGTCCGAGTGCAGGCTACCGGTGGTCAATAAAAATAAAGCGCAGATATGCTGTTCTGAATGGATGTCGGGAACGGGATATTGTTAGACTGCCTGCTCCCGTTCAAATTACAACAGAGTTACCGACTGCTACCGCGTTTTATTCGGGAATTTAATCCCGTGCCGCAAAAAATCTGGTCTCCTGAGACGGGAATGCAGACCTCTAGTTGAAGACACCTAATATTGTATTTTTATTGTATTTATTTAACATTGTATTTTGCTTTATTGTTTTGCTAATATTTTATTTTATGTTTTATTTTACTGTATTGTTTTGCTAATATTTTATTTTATTTCATATTTTATTTTACTTTGTTTTAGTGTTTTTTATTTTATTAATATTTTATTTTACTATATTGTTATAGTAATATAGTATAATTTTATTTTTACTTTATTGTTTTAGTAACTTTTTAAAATTGTATTAATATTTTATTATTTTATTACATTTTTGTTTAATATAGTATTTTACTTTGTTGTTTTGGAATTATTTTTTTCTTTTATTAATATTTTATTTGATTCTTTTATTACAAATATTGTACTGTCAAGATGTAATTAACGAGAGATTTAACACTACACAATTTAACATTTAGATTTAGATTAATCAAGATTTAACACTAACATTACAGCACAGAGTGAAAATATCCAATACATCTTTTCAGTCTTACGTTTTTAACAGGCCACATTTTCCATCTCTTTAACCCTGATTATCATGAGCTGTGCAAAAGATTTCTCCGATTGTTCGCTAATTTGCTGGAATGCATCTCGTCCGTCTTGTTTTGGAAGAGGGATTTGGAGCCGTGCTGAATTTTTAAATGGGTTTGCGGTGACGGAGGAGATTTTCACACGTTCCCCTCTAAATAAATAAGTGACTGTGGAGGAGAGATTGTGTGTGTATGAATGCTTGTGTGTTTGGGGAACTCCAGTGTTTTTCATTCTAGTTTGGATGGCATTCATGGTATTTCAGTCTCTGCTAAACATTAACCCATATTTCGTTCTGGGATTCCCCAGCAGATGCTCAGATTGGCATGTTAACACGTTCAGAAATCCTCACACACTCGCTCTGGCTCAGCTTTTGCTTTTTCCTTTGGAAAGTGCGATCAGAGTCTGATTACTGACCTTGTGACCTCTGAACTCTGACCTCTCTGTATTTATTATTTACAGGTGCGAAGAGAAGAGGAGACACTTTGCAATCGGCGGTAGAAGCATCTCGGGAAATGAGCGTCAACTTCACTGGAGGTACAAACCGTGAGCTTATTATTATTAATGTGCAGGATATGGCATGAAATGAAGATGCTGAATTCTACCATGCATTGGCTAAAATTAAAATAAAGTAAAATAAATATGCTGAGTAAACTGAAAATGAGAAAACAGTTTCTATGCACAGAAAAGGCCTTTTCAGTGAATAATAATTTGTCTTAGTTTTGTACTAAACTGAACTTTTATATTCATTTTATGTGATTATACTGTAAAAAATGGATATTAAAATCAGTTATCTACTTATAACTTATTGCGATTACTTTTATATTAGTTCTTAATACATCACACATGTAATGTATTTATACAATTTTGCATTTACATTTTTACACCTTTTTTTTACCATATGTTGGCTTTAATAAATAAAAAAATTATTATTATTATTATTATTAATGTGCAGGACGTTATACACGTTCACATGCATGACTTTTCTGTTCCTTTTATGTGATGTGATACTGTAAAAATTATTTTTCAAGGTTAAACAAAGATAATTGGACTATGTTTTTCTACTTTAAAATGAGAAAGAAATGTAAAAAAAATATATAATTTAAAAAGAATATTTTTTTTTACACATTTGTACATGTTTTTGATGTATTTGTACAATTTTGCATTTACACTTTACATTTTTAATGCCTTTTACCATAAGTTTACATTAATAAATGCTAACATAACATAAGAATATAATATAAAATATAAAATAAAATTATAGAAAATAAAATTATAATAAAATAAGCGATACAAAGAAATGTTTTTTTTTTTTTTTAATATAGTAGAATTCTAATGTAAACGACACTGATGGTGTTATATTTTATTTAATAATTTTATTATAAATATTGTATTGTCAATATTTGATTGTGTTTTGTTTACACAAACATTATATTAGATTAATGAAGCGTTGCTCTTGCAGCAGTTTCAGCATCAATTTCTGTTTTCTGTACGTCCAGTTGGGTCCAACAACAACTGATCACATAGTTTCAGTGCAAGAATTAAGTAAACTTCAGTTTAATAAATTTAATTGCATGCAATGAAATGAAGTTCTCACAATGTTCAAGAATTGCGTTGCGATAGCTAATTGAATTAACTAAATTGAACAAGCAGCAGAAATAATCTTTTTGCATTTATATATAGTCCGGTTTCCAGAAATGTACAAACTGGTTTGTGGTTGTGCTGCGTTTATGTTTGCCCGGCATGCTGGGAGTTTTTGTGTACACAGCATGCTTTGCTGTAGCACCGAATGAGGTCAAAGAAAGGAAAGGCTTCAGCAAGTGGAAGTTTCTGCTACTTCTGTGTTGTGGTTAAGCACAAACGGGATAGAGTGTTTCAGTTTAGAGCACATGCATGCTGGTTTTACTCTCTTTTACTCTCTTACTATATACACTATATAACAAGAACAGATGAAATTTGAATCTTTTTGTATGTCTGTGTTGTTTAATGTCCTATACTCGTGTCATAAATTTGGTGCTAGTTTGTGTTTTGAACTGAAAACAAATGCAAAAGCTTATTCTGTTTATCTAAAAGCCAAACATTGCACTGCAATTTGAGTTGTAAACAGCGTTTTATTTTAGTGAAAGTAAGTTTTTGGCTTTTTATCAGATTGTTAGCTTTTTTAAGTGCTTATTTTAAGAAATAATAATAATAATACTAAAAAATAACTTTTTTAATTTAGTATAGAATTTTATTATAATGAAAGCAACATCTTACCATATGTTCGATTTTTTATTTTTTTTTCCTTGTTTTTATTAACTAATTATTTAAAAAAAAATCAATTATGACTAAATTATAAATAATTGTAAATATCAAATAAATTATTATAACTAAATATTTCAGATTTTTCTTTTTGTTAAATAAATAAAAAAATTATTATTATTATTATTATTAATGTGCAGGACGTTATACACGTTCACATGCATGACTTTTCTGTTCCTTTTATGTGATGTGATACTGTAAAAATTATTTTTCAAGGTTAAACAAAGATAATTGGACTATGTTTTTCTACTTTAAAATGAGAAAGAAATGTAAAAAAAATATATAATTTAAAAAGAATATTTTTTTTTACACATTTGTACATGTTTTTGATGTATTTGTACAATTTTGCATTTACACTTTACATTTTTAATGCCTTTTACCATAAGTTTACATTAATAAATGCTAACATAACATAAGAATATAATATAAAATATAAAATAAAATTATAGAAAATAAAATTATAATAAAATAAGCGATACAAAGAAATGTTTTTTTTTTTTTTTAATATAGTAGAATTCTAATGTAAACGACACTGATGGTGTTATATTTTATTTAATAATTTTATTATAAATATTGTATTGTCAATATTTGATTGTGTTTTGTTTACACAAACATTATATTAGATTAATGAAGCGTTGCTCTTGCAGCAGTTTCAGCATCAATTTCTGTTTTCTGTACGTCCAGTTGGGTCCAACAACAACTGATCACATAGTTTCAGTGCAAGAATTAAGTAAACTTCAGTTTAATAAATTTAATTGCATGCAATGAAATGAAGTTCTCACAATGTTCAAGAATTGCGTTGCGATAGCTAATTGAATTAACTAAATTGAACAAGCAGCAGAAATAATCTTTTTGCATTTATATATAGTCCGGTTTCCAGAAATGTACAAACTGGTTTGTGGTTGTGCTGCGTTTATGTTTGCCCGGCATGCTGGGAGTTTTTGTGTACACAGCATGCTTTGCTGTAGCACCGAATGAGGTCAAAGAAAGGAAAGGCTTCAGCAAGTGGAAGTTTCTGCTACTTCTGTGTTGTGGTTAAGCACAAACGGGATAGAGTGTTTCAGTTTAGAGCACATGCATGCTGGTTTTACTCTCTTTTACTCTCTTACTATATACACTATATAACAAGAACAGATGAAATTTGAATCTTTTTGTATGTCTGTGTTGTTTAATGTCCTATACTCGTGTCATAAATTTGGTGCTAGTTTGTGTTTTGAACTGAAAACAAATGCAAAAGCTTATTCTGTTTATCTAAAAGCCAAACATTGCACTGCAATTTGAGTTGTAAACAGCGTTTTATTTTAGTGAAAGTAAGAGTTTTTGGCTTTTTATCAGATTGTTAGCTTTTTTAAGTGCTTATTTTAAGAAATAATAATAATAATACTAAAAAAGAACTTTTTTAATTTAGTATAGAATTTTATTATAATGAAAGCAACATCTTACCATATGTTCGATTTTTTATTTTTTTTTGTTAAAATAAATAAATACAATAATTGTTTTTTGTTATTTTTTATTTATTTTATTTTATTAATTTAAAAATTAGTATGACAAATGACATAAATGACAAATGGATGACTTTTGCAGTGACAGGCCTAATGTGGCACCAAAGATTTAAATTAATTGTTTAAAAGTAATTAATTAAAAATAAAATATTTTAATAATAAATAAGAATAATTATAATAAACAGTAACAAAATGTTTTCTTTCCATGTATTTTTTAATTTTTTTAATTTAGTATTTTAAATTTGCATTTTATTATAGTAAGAGTGAGACAATTTTTGGCTTGTTACCAAATATATCTTCTTTTTTTTTTTTGATTTTGTATAGTACTAAAGTAAATGGCAAAATTGGTGAGACGATAATAAACAGCATTTTGTTATAGTAAAAGTGATATAATTTCTGACTTTTTACTGCATGTTGTTTTTTAAATTAATTAATTAAAAATGAAAAATGTTAATAATAAATAAGAATAATTATAATAAACAATAACAAACTTTTTTTAATAAAAAAAATTGTATTTTAAATTAGCATTTTATTATAGTATAATTGAGAATTTTTGGCCTGTTACCAAATGTGGCTCTTTTTTTTTATATATATATATATAAATTGAAAGTTATTGGTTATTAATCATTATTCTTTTTTATTACTAAAAATGTAGTATAGTACTAAAGTAAATGACATAAATGTATGGACGGCGATAAACAATATTTTATTATAGACAATATTTGACTTTTTACCATATCTTGGCTTTAAAAAAAATATTTTAATAATAAAAATAACAAACAATGACAAAAAATAACTTATTTAAATTGGTTAGTTTAAATTTAGCACATTACTCAATTAAATGACATAAATGGATGATGTTGCATTAATAAAATGTCGCAGTCACATCAATTTCAACATGTGGGTCTAGATCTGGATTTCTGTACATCCAGTTTTGTACATCAATTGATCATGTAGTTTGTTTGCAGTGACAGACTGAACATTGCACTTCCATTTGTGACTCTTCTGAATTGTAGAGATGGTTTTATTAAAGTGGATGTGAGATCAGCGGTGTTCAGGAGGATGTGTTGGGAAAGTGCTGAACTCGCGCCGCCAGCGTGACCTGTATTCATTCACTGAGCCCGACATCAATCTGCCATCTGTGTTATTCGTGGCGTTTGGCGTTCGCAGCTCCTTCTGACCGAACCGCTGCTAGTTAGGCCAAATATGCGCTTTACAGCAGCGTCTGCTGCTCCGCTCATGCAGAATTAGGGCTTACGCTGACGTCAGGATGGAGAGTTATGTTTGAAAGAGGCTTAATGTGTTATATGCTCTGGATTTGGTTAAAAATATCAGCCAATGCACAAATACACAACAGGATTCATTTAGTCACATGCTGGATGCGTGCAGACACACACACACACACACACACACACACTCCAGCACAAACATATGTTCACACATACACACTCGCCAAGCGCCAAATGTGAGTAGAAACGGGATTCGTTGGGAAAATAAAATGCCAGTTATTCACCAGCTGTCTGGACATTCTTTTTCTGTTTTTGCCATTTGACTTATAAGAATGACTGTGTGAGCGTCACTGATGACTAATTCTACTGAAGACTCTTTGACCTCAATGAAAACATTATGCATTTACATTCACGTTTTTTTTTATTTGACAGATGCTTTTATCCAAAGCGACTTGCATTGCATTGAAGTTATGCATTTTTTTACTCCGTTCATGCATTCCCTGGG